CATCTCTTCCATTTGTCTGTTACTGAGTTGCATCCTTTACAATAAACCAGTAACTGTAAGTGAAGTGTTTTCTTGAGTTCTGAGAGCAATTCTAGCAAATCATCAAGCAAGAGGAGGAGGTTCTGGGAATCTCCAATTTGTAGCTGGTTAGTCACAATTACAGGTGGCAGGGACTTGCAACAGCCATCTGAAATGGGGGCAGTCTTAGCCTTTTAACTTGTAGAATGTGACACTAGTTCCAGATAAAGTCAGAATTGAATTGAATTATTGGATACCCAGTTGGTGACAGCAGACTGAAGAACCACACAGCCTCTCCAAAGCTGCTAAGAGCCAAAGGCCCCACAGAAACAGTCCCACAGAGTCACCCAGACCAGTCAGGTGCTCCTTCAGACAGATGCCCAGGGCCTGCAGGAAATCAGACTCCTCTCTTAAATACTTGAAACCAGAGTAGTTGGTCTACTATAAATGAGGTTTTTAAAATTCAATTCCCTCTTATTGCTCGTGCAGATCTGAAATGATCTGACCAGATGGCTGGTGCTCTATAATTCTTGGATTGCTCTCATCAGTTGTTGATGATTTGGATTTTTTTCCCTCCTCACATGAATGTGTTCCTGCACGGGCTTCCTGCGTGCTCACATCGAGTGGGCTCTTTGTGCTAATACCAATATTCCAGAGACTCTCACAGCCGCCTGGAGTCAGATCAGGTCAATAAGGAGCCCGGGCTGAGCCTGGCTGTTCTTCCCTGAGCACACGGGGCCAACGTGCAGCACTGGCTAATGGGCAGCATGAGGAGGGCTCTTCCCAGGCTGCCTCATCACCACCACCACTCCTCCTTTGGGTACCCAGGGAAAGGGAAGGTTCAAAGGTGTATTTTTTTAAATGACAACTATAGCCACTTATTGAATATGGCCTATGTGCCGGACCCCGCATGAAACATTTTACATATGTTAGCTTTGTTTCATTCTCATCTCTGAAGTAGATATTTTTATCCCTATTTTTAGATAAGGAAACTCAGATTCAGAGATTTTGAGCAACCTGACCAAAGCCACACAGCTCAAAAAGAGAACTACCGGTGGGGTTAGAGGTTCGGCATCATAAAATCTGACTAACTTCCCCACCAAGATCTCAGAGTTAAAGGCCCTGGCCTTGCCAGACCATCCTTTGTGCCCTCACTGAGCACAGGACACTTCCACCAGGATATCCAAAACCACTTTAGGTGGTTTTCTTTTTCTTTACTTTTTTTTGTCTCTGTATCCTCTGTGAGACTATGAGCTGCTAGAGGGCAGGGGCCACTTTCTTTTTGCTACCCAGGAAGACAGTATGGCACAGTGGTTAGGAGCTGAGGTTTAGAGCCAGACAAAGCTAGGTTTGAATTCTGATTCTATCACTTATTGGTTATGTGGCTAAGTCATTTCTTCTGAGACTCAGTTTTTTTCTGCAAAAATGAAGATAGTTATAGCACCTGCATTCCAAGGATGCCTGGCAGAGTCCATGCTCACTAAATGCGAACTATTATCTATTTTCTCTGGCTATGATTACAGTGCCTGGCACAAAGTAGGATCTCAGAAAATGGCCAGGGAGCAGAAGCTCCACCAAATCTGGCTATGACCCACATTCTGTAATGACAAGTACACAGGCACAAAGTCCTGGTGTTCAGGGGTTCTCAGCCCCAAGACAAATTCCTCAGTTCCCTGCCCAGAACCCATAGGATCTGCCAGCAAACAGCTTTCCTCTGCTTGCTTGAGAACAGCTGACGCTGAATCCACACTCAAATGCTTGCTGTGCCTCCGAAGGTGAGGCAGATCCCAAAATAAACCAGGAGAGAGAGAGACAGGAAAATCACTTCTAGGAACAAGTGGCTCCCAGTAAGGATGCTGACAGTAATAACAGAGGCAGACAGACTTCAGGAGAGTGACCTGCAGCTGTTCCAGGGCTCAGTGGCTGGGGCCCAATTCCCATCTGGCCTGGCGGGAAGGCCCACAAAGTCATGGGTTGGTCCCCTGGTGCTCCAAGCTGCAGCAGGCAGTCTAGAAATCTGCCTTCACATGAGCCCATCCCACAGCCCTGTACCCTCGCTCCCCCCCTTGGAGGTCTAAGGACAACAGAGTTGCCATCCTCCCTTCAGAGACCTAAGGGGACAGAAGGCATTGAACTGGGGTCAATAACTGTCAGCATAACTTGCCATTTTCTTAAAAGTCCCCAAAAGAGATGCTACCATCTTCCTGTGCTACATCACGTACTCTCAGGCAGAAAATGCTCTGCTAACCCCTTCTGCTCATGCTTAACCTCGCTCCTTCATCAAAATCTCTGTGGAGGGAGGAAGGAGAGGAGGGAAGGAAGGAAGGAGAACAATTTCATGAGCATGAAGTCTCCCATTCACATCCTAAGTTCCCTTCCCCATGTAGCAGGAAGGCTACATGTTCACATCTCTGTGGAGGGGAGGGAGGAAGGAGAGAGGGAAGGAAGGAAGGAGAACAATTTCATGAGCATGAAGTCTCCCATTCACATCCTAAGTTCCCTTCCCCATGTAGCAGGAAGACTACATGTTCACATACCCCCACTGGCATCCAATTCCACACCTGAGTTGAAGGGGTGGTGCAAGTGGAAAATTTACCATTGAAAATCAGAACAGCTGTGAGTACTGAGTGATTTCTTCATGTTAGGAATTCGGCAGAGGCCTTCACATCCATCATCTATCTCACTCACTCCACACAGCAGCCTCTGCAGCAGGCAGGACAGGACATTTCCCCAACATCACCAGGAGGGAAATCAAAGAGCAGAAGGATTCCGTGACTTGCCCAAGTTCCTCCAAGTAGCAAAGCTAGGATTTGAACGCAGGACTGGCTGAGTCTAAAGTTTGTCCTCTTTACAGCTAAATTATACTACCTCCCCATTAAATTCTCAGGAATGGCTACTTTCCTTTTAACCTTCTGGTAGATGTGTTGGAAGTTACCAGGCAGCATTCAGGATGTGGTAATTTAAATATACTCTGGTTGAAAGCAAGTGTTAGCTATCCACAGACCACTGAGAGGTCAATTTCCTAACAATATACACATGAAACACCTCAATTCTGTATTGGGGCGTAAAAATGTCCCGTCTGGCTCCATGATGCCAGACTCTGAATCACCCCACATCAGACACTGAGACCAGAAGAAGCCTAATGTCCTCTCACCAATCCTGCTTTGGGGATGATTCCAAAGGTTGCCAGGGTATAGGCAAAAAATGCTTTTGGGATGGGACAGGCACAACTGGAACCAGAGCTGCATTGCCCTCTGAGCTGCAGGGCCTATGTGTATGTGCTCACCTGCAACACAGCATATACTGGGGCAACCCCAAGGGAATTTTGTGCAGAAGAGTTTACAACAAGCTCCTGAGAAAACTGTAAGGCAGAGAGTGACATCAATGGAGCATAAAGTTATATGTAAAAATCAGTGCTCCACTCCAATTCTCCAGGAGCTTCTCAGAGCCCATTGGCCATACCTGTCACACAGGCTGTGGCTCTCCCTCCACAAGGATACAGAGAAGGTCTCTTTTCTTTAGCCATTAAGAGCAGTCCCGCTGCCCAGAGGGCTGAATATGGGTCCAGGGTCAGAACTGTCAACTTGTTTTGTCTGCAATGTGAACCAGGGTACTACTGGTTGAAGGGTGCTACTGACTCAACCACAAGAACAGATAAGGTAGGAGTAGGGACACGAACCTGCATGTGCCCATGCACTTGCCTGGTTAAAAGCACTACAAGTGACACCATATAAAACAAGTGAATACAGCCCACATCTTGCATACCCTACCCATAAGAGTCCCTCTGGTTTTAGTTCTCAAGGACTGAGGGTGGGAGAGGTTAGTTCTCAGGGAAAGTTGGGCACGCAGAGGTTGGATCTGCTGAACCAAGTATCTCTATTCCTGAAACCTCCCTCTGCCCAATGCCATTAGCTCCCACTGGCTTCCTCGGTGCTTCATCACTCTTCTGTGGCAGCAACTACCCGTATGCAAGCCCAGCAGGAGCAATATTGCTACCAGAAAGCTGGCTGGCACAGCAAATGCTACCCTGCCGGCACAGCAGCAATGCGGGCAGTGAGGACGTGGTGATGAATATCGGCAAGGAGCTGATGAAACTACACTGTGGCAGCTGCCAGGGCTTGCCATGTACCTTGCCACAGTGCTGAATGCAAACAGCCTACTCCTGAGAACAGGCCCACGTGTCAGCATAGCAGGCTCTAGCCAAGGACAGTTAGTACTGGGAAGGAGAAGTGGGCGGAGAATGGGTCCAGGCCCTGGGGTCAATGCATAGGACAAGTGAGCTGGATGACAAAGGACAAGTTACCTAACCTCTCTGAGCCTTGATGTTTTCATCTGAAAATAAGATAATAGTTCCTATTATTGTGAAGATTGAACAAGATTATGCACATGAGGCATCTAGCTCAGTATCTGAATATGGTAAATACTCCACAACTGCTGGCTATTTGCATTATTATCTTAAGCCCAGGGCCCAGGTTCATGAAAGGGTGAGAAAGTTGTTGCTTCTGAGGATGTTCCATTTAAAAACCAGACCAGGACCAGCCCCTATTCCTTGGCACAGGTTCCTTAACAACAGAACACTCCTGCCCCACACCAGTGCTCAGGACTCTCCCATGAACAATATTTCAGCAGCACTGAGCTGAGCAGCAGAGCTCAAAATAGCACTTGCAGAGTGAGGCACATGTCACTGCCTCTCTCCTGTGCTTCAGAAGTGCAAGGAAAGAAAGTTTTCAATCACTTGCTCAGAAAGCACGGCCACCCACCACCTGCCTGCCTTCCAGGGCACTCAGATGTCGCGATTTCTGTTCTGCTGGAAAATGAAGGTCCCTGAGCCTTACAGCGGCAGCTACCACTCTGACAGACCACACTGTTCCCCTCCAGCAGGCCAGAGAGCAGTTGCTCCTTCAAAGCAGCCCTGTGGGGACAAAGGACATATGCAGCTTGAATTCAGAGTATGTTTCATGGGAACAGGGTTAGGCTGGTACCTGGCCCAAGGGCCTGCCACTCATGGGTCGGGTGAAACACCTCCAAGACCTCGGTGTCCAGCTCCTCCTCTGCTTTGGTTTCTGTTCTCTCTGTTTCTTTGGTGCTGCTCTTCTCTGGGTTGGTCAGCGCAAACTCCTTCTGAGAAAAGACAACAGAGGGCATGACCCATCACAACTAGGTGCCAGGCAAGCAGACAGAAAATGGCCTGGGGTGGCACACTCTTTTCCTCCACCCCCCCCTTCCCCACCCCAGACACATTTGGAAACCTGCCATTCCTTTCATAAGCCCAGTCTCAGAACCAGCATGTGTGAGGTGCTATGGCTAAATGAACGCAGCATGTTGTCATGTGTACGTGGTTCTTTTAAAAATGCATAAGGAACAACCCCAGAAGATTGCATACCATCTTGAAGGGGTTAAAGGAACATACTGGGGAAAGGGGTTGTCAAAAGGAGACAAGAAGAGTCTTTATTTTTTATTTGACATGCTACTATACTGTTTGATGTTTAAAACTCATATATATTACTTTTACAATAAAGATATTATTATTGTTTATTTTAGAGTCAGCATCTTGCTATATTACCCAGGCTGGTCTCAAACTCCTAGGCTCAAGCCATCCTCCTTCCCTGGCCTCCCAGAGTGCTGGGATTATAAGCATGAGCCACTGTGCCCAGCCAAAAAAACATATTTATAAAAGAAAAAAATGCACACACGATTGGGAGAGTAAAGCCTCAAATGGCCACCACAGATATATAAAAGCTAGCCGCGAAGGCCCAACTGATTCCCAAGCAGCACAGCAAGGCACAATACAGGGCCTGGCAATTCCCCAGGGTGCCTATGGGGCATCAGTGACTTCTTGGGACATTTCAAACCATGGAGGAAGGGGTGCAAGTGGGGTGGGAGTACAGCTGGGCTGAGAGAGGAAGATGGATGGAAACCACTTCCTAAATCCTGCTTCCTTCTACCCCATGGAGAACATGGAGGATTAATGAGACGGTGTCTGTGGAGCATTTTGAGCTTAGGAGACAGAGATGCAAGATAAATACAAAACACCATTCATTTTTCTCCTTCCTAGACTACCATCCTTTCCATCCCATTTTTAAACCTGTTCTTGCATAAAAGCAGTAAGACCTCAGGAAATTGGAACCAGGGGGTTCCGGAACTCTGGGAAAATACATTTGAAAGAGCAAGGAGGAATTCACCCTAGTACATGGAGAGGTTATTTCAGCCCTCTCACCTCCCTTGTCATCATTTTTCCTCTACTTCCCAATCCCTCCCCTAGTAATAAGAAATATATTTCTGAAAGGGAGATGGCCCGCCGACCTGGTAAGAGAGATCCTTGGCAGAGGTCATGAGACTGTCTTCTGAGGAGATGCTAGGGCCAGAATGATGGGCTGTGGTTGAACACAATTGCCTGAAACTGAAAACCCATTCTTTAAAAGCTCTGTGTTTCTGTGAATGTGCAGGAAATCTGGGATTTTGAGAGAGAAGGTCTACCCTTTCCCCTCTTTTGTCGGCAAAGTAAACTTTCCTTCCTCCTCAGAAAAAAAAAAAAAAAAAAAAAAAGAAATATATTTCTTAGATTCCTCCTATGAAGCTAAATCTGTGCTGGGCACTTTACATAGATTTCACTCTGGTTTTCCAACAAGTCTAACCTGGCCTGAGAAATGCATGTGATGCATGTGATGCATCTCTTCAAATAGTGTCCCAGCTCCAGACAGAGACTCCCACCTACCTGGGTCTCTCAGAGTCTGATCTTTTTAATAAGCTGTGAGAGGAAAGGTTAAGGTGTTACGGTGTTGGTGATGACAATGTAGAGCTCTTCTAAGAACTTCTACATTTTAACAAGAAATAAAGACATGAAATTTAGATAGCAGAATTTCAGAACTTGGACCAGTAAGAAAAATATCTTGACCAAGAAGAGGCCCTCAAATCATGTCACAAGTATTGAGAGACACTGACCCCAACATAGTGGTTAAGAACTCAAGCTCTGCATCAGATAACCCAAAGTTTAAATCTCAGTTTCCTGTGACTCTGGGAAAGTTACTGAACTTTCTAAGCCTCAGTTTCTACATTTATATAGTAAAAATCAAAGCAATATCTAGCTCATACATTAGATGAAGTGCTACATTGTAAACCACTAGCCCTGGGTGTATGGTAGCTGTCACTACTATTACTTACAAAGGCAGTCATAGGTTCCAAGTTGGATGAGTTTGTGCTGTGACATCCAGGAGTGACTATACAATTTGGCATCATTCAGGCAAGGTCAGGCTGGGGTGGTGGTCGCCTGTACAGCCTGGCCCCTCAAGCCCTGCTATCCCTTCAACTTGAAGTTTTCACAAATTTGAGCTCAAAAGAAAACTAGGAACAGAAGAATCAGTGTACTTATGAGACTAAAGAGAAGACAGACTGGCAGGAGGCCCCCTCCATGAGGACAGGGACATCAAGGGCTTCCTGCAGCTGAGATGCCTGAGGGCAGGCACTGTGTTAGTCTCTTTCATCCCTGTATCCCCCATGCCTAGCACAGGGCTTAGTTTGTTGAACAAACAGATGAATGAATGCCCCCTCCCACAGGCAGGTTGTGTCTTTTAGGTGCCTTAGACTTAGGCCAGCCCAAAGTACCTGAATGTGCTGGATGCAGGTACCAGCCTCACATTCCAGAGCAAAGACCACCTTGCCTGCTAATAAGTACCCGGAGTCTATATACTCTAGGGCCCAGTCATGCTAATCAGCCCCTGCTAGAAGCACTAGACTGTGGGTCTAGGAGAACGCTAATACAATTTCCCCAAGAGGTGTGTCTATCAAATGCCTCCAGGGGCCAGCCAGGCAAGGATGGATATACATGTGCAAAGTGGGACAGGTGTACACAACATGGAGTGGTAAGACTATAAAAACTGGAGCCCCTCCTCCCCACCACGACCAAGGAAAGCAGATGCTACTCAGCTGGTCCATCACTGCCACACAGGCATTCAACTTGAAGAGAAAACAGAAATACAGATTTTTATGTGAAATGTTTTTATTTTTAGAACACCAAGAGGGCCAAACTAAACTGCAACCCTTGTGTTAGCATACCTATTAGCCAGGTAACTCCTGGCAGGTGTGGCTGTGAGCAAGCAACAACATTCTCTTCATTAAGAGAAGCAGAAAGGGGCACGGGAAATGGTAATGATCATGAGATGGGGGGGGGGGCGCCTTCAAATCCAGGCAAGGACAGTGTTCATTCTAACTACTGGGAGCTGGGAAAGCCTATTTATGCAGATTTTGTTAACAAGATTAACAGAGTAGGTTCAAGAAGAAGGGTTAGAAGGAGACCAATGACCCACTGAGCCACATGTACCAAGCCCTAAGGAGGCCAAACACTTGCAACAATCCCGTCACTGCTGTGAATGTTCCTGTGCCTCCTCCTGGTATCATCTTTGAACCAGACTTTAAGACACAAATACAAAAGCTGTCATTCTGTCATGATTTTACAGTACATTCAGTTTTTAGTGGAGGGGGCAGTGATACAAAGAGACTTCAGATCCTCTGCCCGAATCACATCTGGCTGCCCTCCAAGGTCAAGGGCTCAGAAACACTGGGAGAGGTTCAGTGATGTGAACATACCATAGGCTGGACAGTCAGTGCAAAAGGAGAGTTCCAAAAGGTTTCGAGGAAAAGCAGTGTCACAAGGATGAGGTTATGATGATAGCAGCTACCATTTATTAAGCCCTAATCATATGCCAGGCATGGGTTAAGGTGCCTTCCATGCCTCAATTCCTGAGTCTCAGCTGTGAAACACATATTCTTAGCACCATTTTACAGATAGGAAGGCAGATCCCAGGCTGTTCAAAATCACACTGCTCAGAAAAGCAAAGCAGAGATTTAAGTCCAGACCTGCGTGGCTCCAAAGCACATGCAGGAATTCTGACACTTTTGTGTTTCTTTCTTGGTCGGGTGTCCTGATGGCTGTGCCCTGGATGCTTACAGAATGACGCTGGGGAAACGAGACCATTTTAGCACATCCGCCAGCATATCCCTGTTTTCAGGCTATGACTTCCATGGGCCAGATAAGAAACCACACTCCCAGAGAAAGGGCAGGCAAAACTAGCCTCACTCTGCCCAGGCAACATCCTGAACAGGAGAGAGACCAAGAGGTGAGAGAGGCAGGCCAGCCCTTGAGTAAGCCCTTGAACATCCCTGAGTAAATCTGAGGCACTGGTGCCTTCCCAGCTGGCTTCTCGGGATTCCTCCCATGCTGGATCACCAGCACCCTCTTCTCCCTACCTCTTTCACTCCAAATACCAATTTCCTCTCAACTGACTGGCAAGAAATCCCAGCTAAGGTGTTAGCTGACAACAGCTTATCATGTCACACTTCCTTGCACTTGTACTGGAATAAGAAATTCTTAAAAACCAAAGCCTTCAAGATCCAAGAGAATGAATGAATCTCTAATGGTGGGCTGATAGACACTGTGACAGAGACAGACTGCTGGGGCAATATTTTAGAGATAGAAACCTGGCTAACACAGCCCCAAATTAAACCATAAAAGCAGCACCCCTATACTAAAAATAACAGCTGACATTTAGTGACCATTTATTAGCCATATTGTGCCAGTCTCAATGCTAGGTACTTATATATATAATCACATTTACTCTACATTAAGACCTTAAGAGTGACGTACCAACCCCTGTTTTACAGAGAAGGAAACAAAGCTCAGAAAGGGTCAAATTGCCAAAGCAGGTGGCAAAGGGGAGCTTACAAAAGGCCTGTGCTCCTTCCACTGGGCTCCACTACGGTCCCTCCCTCAGTACTCACCACCCCCTTTAAAGGCCAATACCATACACCCACATTCTTTCATCATCTCATGTGGCATCCCAGGGAAGGGCCACAGCAAGAGCCTGGAGGGAGGCTGGCTCCAGATCACACTCTGATACACACAGCCAACCTTTCCTGGGTGGGCATTAACCTGTTTAAACGCCTTTGGGGAGGACAATTCTAGGCCATCAGAACCGCTTACCTGGACTCCAGGATCTAAAGAAAGGATCGTAACTACCCCCAACCCCCACTCCATTTTCGCTGTTGTGAAGGTGGCTGGCTGCATAATTTAGATTTTAAATGACATCAGGGCAGCAATTTTTATGGTATGAGAGAAAAAGATGCTTCAACTCCTACTTGTGCTTAGCACATGATGAAAGATTATGACAAATGGATACAGCTTAGGAACAGACATAAGGATAAAAGCAGCTTCTGTTGATGAAAGTCAGTATTAACATTTTTTTGAGACTAGACTCAATAGAGCTAATATAAATGGGCCAGAATAATTACGGCTCTGAAAGCTCATCTATTTGGTTGGACTATTATCCAAAAGGGACTTACTAACACACGGTCCTTAAGTAAATTCATCAGCATGCATTTGTTAATTGTGCATCTGCTAAGGCTCAAGAAGGGGAGCACAGGATCCTCATGAGCTGCAAGCTGGGGAGGGAACCAAGACTACCTCAAGACTTTGAGGTAGTTTTCTGGGCCATTCCACTGCCAAGCCATGACAAAGATAGCCCCAACCTCAGGAGCCCCTGGAATCCCAAGCTCACTGTCCTTGAAGCAGCAGCCAAAAAAGCAGCACCAACAAAATCTCAAGAGAACATTAAAAACTCAAAAAAATTTGTGACTCCTAACTATATGTTTTCTCCTGCTCCACAAAGTGGGGAGAAAGGCAGAGGGAAAACAAATGACTTCAGAGAGAAAGTGGAAGCTTGCCATGAGCCAGAGGTGAACCTCAGCTGAGCTGGATTGTTATTAAATTCATCACAATTGTCATTTGCACTTCAAGGGCCTCCTGCTCCAAAGCCTCCAGCGATTTACCCATCATTTAGTGGGAGCCCTGGGGGTTGGGGAGGTGGCCAGGGGAGGGTGAAACTGTCAGAAACCTGACAGTCAGGGCTTCTCAAAGGAGGGAAGAGGGGGGACACTGGGAGCTGGTCAAGGGCAGGCTGTTGCTGGGATGAGCTGGGCTGGGGAAACAGGGCCAGGCACGCTGCATTCAGGCCAAGCTCAAGGCCTTCTCAGGCATTCTCCTCTTGCCTATGGCAATGACAGAATCTCTGAGCAAAGAGGTCTAGGTTAATGAAGTGAGGGCTGGAAAGAACAGGGTGAAAAGGACAGAGGGAATGAGGACACAGAGATAAAGACAGACTGAGAAAGCACAAAGAAGAGAGGAGTAGAGGAAGCAGAGTGTTACTCAGAACTGGTGCTCACCACACAGGCATCCCAGCTTCTGGGGAGAATCCTGATCTTTCCAGCTCTGACACAAACTGGCCGTGTGATTTTGGCCGAGTTACCCAATGCCTCTGAGCTTTAGTTTCTTCCTTCTCAAAATCAGAATAAAAATTGTAGTTGCCTTACTTCATAAGGTTCTTGGGAAGATTAAATGAGAATACCTATAAAACACTTAATACAACACTTGGTACAGGAGAGTTTATTATTATTACATTACCATCACCATCATCATGATCTTTTCCTCAAAGGGAAACAGTGACATGAGTTTTACACATTGACTGCCACGCTAGAAAAAAAAATTTTTTTCCCTTGGGCCAGTGTTTTATCATGAAAATAGAAAAAAAGAATTTTTCAAAAACAAAATGATCCTTTCTTAAAAAAAATAAAAAAACAAAAAAATTCTAATTTAATGGAAAAAATTTTTATTTTTTTTATTGTTTTCTGTGAGTGAGTTAAATGCAACTTGAAAAATAGTTCATGCAACTCCCAAGGTGAAGAGACGTGTGAGTTACATATGTTTCATGAGGCCCTGGGCTCAAAACTAGCATGAGTTAAATACAACTCATATGGCGGTTAATGTGTTAAACAGAGGCCAGAGGACTCAGATGGAGACAAAGAAGTATACATATTCTGTGACCCAGTGCCAGCCACATTCTTATAAGAAAGAAAAATAAAAGCCCACCCCACTCTCAAAGCAGTCCTTCCTAGTGACAGGGAGGCTTTCTCAGACCTTATTAGGGATCCTTCCTATTTGCAATAAGACCACTTACCTCATTTTGACGACTGAGGCAGAAGGTAAAGCAGAAGGCCATCAGCAGCCCAAGGAGCATGCCCAGAGGAGCCATCCTAGATGGAGGTCGGCTCTGGGGAGCCATAGTTAGGAACCTGAGGGTGAAGCAAAGAAAACGGAAGGTCAATGGTAAGCTGGTGCCTGGTCCCCCCTTTGCAATGTGATTCCCACAATGTCACTTGTTCACCAATGCCAGACATTTCCTGCATAGAGGTATCACAAGTCTTCTACCACTTCCAGATAAATCTGAAGGCTCCATCTCCCAAAACAAGTCCAGCCACCCAAGGGTAGAAATGCCCTGACTGGAACTGTACAGTTAACCAGGACTCTTGTGTGAGCTACAACAGCCCTGGTCCCTTCCTTCCTCGTTAACAATTTATTGGAAACAACCCAAGTACCCATCAATACAAGAGTAGATTAATACAATGTGATATATCTATACCGTGGAGTTCTACTCAGCTGCAAAATAAACAATGGTGATCTAGCACCTCTTGTATTATCTTGGATAGAGCTGGAGCCCATTCTACTAAGTGAAGTATCACAAGAATGGAAAAATAAGCACTACATGTACTCACCAACAAATTGGTATTAACTGATCAACACTTATATGCACATATAGTAGTAACATTCATAGAGTGTCAAGCGGAAGGGATTGGGGAGGAGGAGATGGGTATATACACACCTAATGGGTGTGGTGCACACTTGCGGGGGGATGGACACACTAGAAGCTCTAACTTGGGTGGGGCAAAGGCAATGTATGTAACCTAAACATTTGTACCCCCATAATACGCTGAAATCAAGTTTTAAAAAAATGTGTTAGCCAGTTGTGGAGGGTGGTATTGGCTTATGGTAAGGAGACAGGGAAACTAATCAATGCATTTGCATGTCAACAAACATGGGATAAATGCACTTAAGCCTTTGTTATCATCCACTTCTAACCATACCATTATACCTGAAGACAAAAGACAGATGCCATCGACAACCCCTAAGCCAGCAAAGTTCAATATTCCCAAGCCACAAAGACTTTCATGTCCCCAAACATCTAAACAAACAAAAATTAAAAGGACAAAAAGATAGGACATTCTGTGTTCATGGATTAGAGACTTAATACTGTTAAGATGACAATAACTACCCAATGGAACATACAGATTCAAAGCAACTTCTATCAAAATCCCAATGGCGTTTTTTGTTTTATTCAGACATGTAGAAATTCATTCTAAAATTCACGTGGGGCCGGGCGTGGTGGCTCACGCCTATAACCCTAGCACTCTGGGAGCCCCAGGCGGACGGATTGCTTGAGGTCAGGAGTCCGAAACCAGCCTGAGCAAGAGCGAGACACCTGCTCTACTATAAATAGAAAGAAATTAATTGGCCAACTAATATATATAGAAAAATTTAGCGGGGCATGGTGGCGCATGCCTGTAGTCCCAGCTACCTGGGAGGCTGAGGCAACAGGATTGCTTGAGCCCAGGAGTTTGAGGTTGCTGTGAACTAGGCTGATGCCACGGCACTCACTCTAGCCTGAGCAACAAAGTGAGACTCTGTCTCAAAAAAATAAAATAAAATAATAAAATAAAATAAAATAAAATTCGCATGGAATTTCAAGGGACTGAGAATAGCCAGAACAATCTTGAAAAAGAAGAAAGTGAAAGGACTTACACTTCCTGATTTAAAAGCTTACTACAAAGCTACAGTAATCGAAAGTGTGATAATGGCATAAAGACAGACATACAGACCAATGGAACAGAATTGAGAATCCAGTGGAACTGTTGAATTTAGAAATAAGCTGAGAAAAATAAAGAAAAAAAATTTTTTTTAATTTGAAAAATTAAAAAAAAAATAGAAGAATTGAGAGTCCAAAAATAAACACATGTATGGTCAATTAATTTTTGAGAAGGGTGCCAAGACCATTCAATGGGAAAAGGGCAGTCTCTTCAACACATGGTCCTGGGACAACTGAATATCCACATATAAAAGAATAAAACTGTAGCACTTTGGGAGGCCGAGGCGGGTGGATTGCTCGAGGTCAGGAGTTTGAAACCAGCCTGAGCAAGAGCGAGATCCCATCTCTACTATAAATAGAAAGAAATTAGTTGGCCAACTAATATATATAGAAAAAATTAGCCAGGCACAGTGGTGCATGCCTGTAGTCCCAGCTACTCGGGAGGCTGAGGCAGAAGGATCACTTGAACCCAGGAGCTGAAAGTTGCCATGAGCTAGGCTGACACCATGGCACTCACTCTAACCTGGGCAACAAGAGACTCTGTCTCAAAAAAAAAGAATGAAACTGGATCCCTTCCCTTATACCATATATAAAAATTAACTTAAAATGGATCAAAGACCTGAATTTAAGAGATAAAAGCATAAAATTCTTAAAAGAAAACATAGATGTAATCGTAATGACCTTGGATTTGGCAATGGTTTCTTAAATATGACACCAAAAGCACAGACAACAAAAGAAAAATAGATAAATCAGACTTCATCAAAATTATAAAAATTTTAGGCCTCAAACATTAGCAAGAGAGTGAAAAGACAGAATGGGAGAAACTATTTGCAAATCACATATCTAGTGAGGCTTTAATGTCCAGAATACATTAAGAATTCCTAAATATCAATAATAAAAATAGAAGCAACTCAATTTAAAAATGGGCAAAGGACTTGAATAGACATTTCTCCAAACATATACAAATGGCCAATAGAGACATGAAATGATTCTCAACATCACTAACAATTAGGGAAACTCAAATAAAAACACGATAATATACCACTTCACACCCACTACAATGGCTATAATATATATATATTTTTTAAATGACAAGTGTTGGTGAAGACGTGGGTTAACTAGAATCCGCATACTTTGCTGCTGGGAATGTAAAACACTGCAGCCGCTCTGGAATAGTTTGGTGGCTCCACAAAAAAGTAAATATAGAATTACCATATGTCCCAGCAATTCTACTCCTAGGCATATACCCCAAAAAATTGAAAATAGGAACTCAAACAGATACTTGTACATCAATGTCCACTGACACATTATTCACAATATCCAAAGAGGGAAAAACAACCCATCAAAAGATAGCTTTAAAAAGTGGTGTAGGGCCAGGCGCAGTGGCTTTCGCCTGTAATCCTAGCACTCTGGGAGGCCAAGGCGGGAGGATTGCTTGAGCGCAGGAGTTCGAGACCAGCCTGTGCAAGAGCGAGACCCTGTCTCTATTATAAATGGAAAGAAATTAGCCAAACAACTAAAAATAGAAAAAAATTAGCTGGGCACAGTGGTGCGTGCCTGTAGTCCCAGCTACCTGGGAGGCTGAGGCAGGAAGATCGTTTGAGCCCAGGAGTTTGAGGTTGCTGTGAGCTAGGCTGATGCCACGGCACTCTAGCCCTGGCAACAGAGTGAGACTCTGTCTCAAAAAAAAAAAAAAAAAAAAGTGGTATATACATGCAATGGGATATTATTCAGTCATAAAAGGAATGCAATTATGATACGTGTTGCAACATAAATGAATCTTGAAAACATATGCCAAGTGAAATAAACCAGATACAAAAGGACAGATATTGCACGATTCCGCTTATATGAAATATCTAGAATAGGCAAATTCATAGAGACAGAGAGTTGAAAAAGAGGTTACCAGGGAATAGGGAAAAGGAGGAATGGGAAGTTATACCTTAATAGGTAAAGAGTTTCTATTTGGAGTAGTGAAAATATTTTTATCAGTAAACTAGAGTAGAAAAGGAAGAAAGGAAGAAAGAAAATTGAATCCGAATTAGCAAATAATCTAGAAAAGACAGAAAGAAAAACAAAATAAAACAAACAAAAAACAGAAAAACCTTAGAAAAATTCAGAATGCATCAGTATTAGCCCAAACCCTTATAAGAGGTTTTCATGTTTATCTCACAGCCCCAATGCACCTCATTAGGCAGTTTACTCAACAGAAGCTTAAGTGAATTAATTACAGGGGAGCATCTCTGAAGAGTGTGGTGTTTACCTTTGCTCTCTCCTACTCCTGCCACAGTCCTCCCTGCTTCACCTCAAGAAATTGGTCCCCTGGCATGATTGCAGAGAGACCCAAAGCCTTCCTGAACTCACCCTCAGAAGTTATTAACCCTCTGCCCAGCCCACATCTTCTCAGGGGCAGACAGAAACTTTCCCTAAGGACATCTGCAGCCATGAAGGAAAACAGCCCTGCTGGACCAGCACTGTGCTAAAAAAGCACAGCCAAATGGAAAAGCAAAGGCTCCGGCACTAAAAATAGCTGCTATACTCACCCAGCAGCAAAAGCCTTTGCTTTCTGCCAGTTTCCCCCTCTTTTTTTGTCGACAAAATGGAACAGCTGAGTTTGCCACAAGAGCTTCCCCCAGCAACCTGGCTCGCTGGGGCACCAATCACACCGAAAGACAGGGAAGTGAGGTCGCAACACCCCACTAGGCTCTGGACAGGTGCCTGGCCATGCTGGGGTGCAAACTGGAGAGGGGCCAAGCTAGATGAGGACAAACAAGGGGCAGAAGTTGCCACATCAGGAGGGAGAAGGCTGGAGAGGCCCAGGGACATGGGTCTCAAGAGGGCACAGCCCTGGAACTTAACCTTTCTTAACCCTGCACCCTTGGATGTGAGGAGGAAAAATAAAGGACGGAAGTGAGGGGCTCAACGCGGTATCAGGACAACATATAAAAAAAGAAAGAGAGGTTAACCCAAAGCCCCAGTTCGCCCTTTCCTTACACGAGCGTGTTCCTGTGTATGTGCATGTACACACAGTTCCATGCTCCCTCCTCACAGCCAGGGATAAATGCCAAAAACTGCTGCTGCTGGGGAAAAAGATGAGGAGGAAGAGATAAATGAGAAAGAAGTAGCCAAGGGCAAAGAAGACAAATGAGCAGGAGGAGGTGGCCCAGAAGGGACTGAAGAAGAGGTCGGAGACAGCTGATGCACAAACAGCGGCTCCCCACCTCCTGAAGTGGGAAGGGGAGTGGAGGGCGAGAGAAATGGCAGTTCCCACAGGGCTCCCAGCCGCCTCCGTCTCCTACACACACACACACACACACACACACACACACACACACACTGTCAGAAGCACTTTCTGCCAATACTAAGGATGAGAGA